TGGAGGACTGCAGCTACAGTAACAACACAAAATACACACACTGATGCCATGTGGAGGGCTGCAGCTACAGTAACAACACATAATACACACACTGATGCCATTTGGAGGATTGCAGCTACAGTAACAACACATAATACACACACTGATGCCATGTGGAGGACTGCAGCTACAGTAACAACACAAAATACACACACTGATGCCATTTGGAGGACTGCAGCTACAGTAACAACACAAAATACACACACTGATGCCATGTGGAGGACTGCAGCTACAGTAACAACACAAAATACACACACTGATGCCATGTGGAGGACTGCAGCTACAGTAACAACACATTATACACACACTGATGCCATGTGGAGGACTGCAGCTACAGTAACAACACAAAATACACACACTGATGCCATTTGGAGGACTGCAGCTACAGTAACAACACATAATACACACACTGATGCCATGTGGAGGACTGCAGCTACAGTAACAACACAAAATACACACACTGATGCCATTTGGAGGACTGCAGCTACAGTAACAACACAAAATACACACACTGATGCCATGTGGAGGACTGCAGCTACAGTAACAACACAAAATACAACACACTGATGCCATGTGGAGGACTGCAGCTACAGTAACAACACAAATACACACACTGATGCCATGTGGAGGACTGCAGCTACAGTAACAACACAAAATACACACACTGATGCCATTTGGAGGACTGCAGCTACAGTAACAACACAAAATACACACACTGATGCCATGTGGAGGACTGCAGCTACAGTAACAACACAAAATACACACACTGATGCCATGTGGAAGGCTGCAGCTACAGTAACAACACATAATACACACACTGATGCCATGTGGAGGACTGCAGCTACAGTAACAACACATAATACACACACTGATGCCATTTGGAGGACTGCAGCTACAGTAACAACACATTATACACACACTGATGCCATGTGGAGGACTGCAGCTACAGTAACAACACATTATACACACACTGATGCCATGTGGAGGACTGCAGCTACAGTAACAACACAAAATACACACACTGATGCCATTTGGAGGACTGCAGCTACAGTAACAACACATTATACACACACTGATGCCATGTGGAGGACTGCAGCTACAGTAACAACACATAATACACACACTGATGCCATGTGGAGGACTGCAGCTACAGTAACAACATAAAATACACACACTGATGCCATTTGGAGGACTGCAGCTACAGTAACAACACATTATACACACACTGATGCCATGTGGAGGACTGCAGCTACAGTAACAACACATAATACACACACTGATGCCATTTGGAGGACTGCAGCTACAGTAACAACACATTATACACACACTGATGCCATGTGGAGGGCTGCAGCTACAGTAACAACACATAATACACACACTGATGCCATGTGGAGGACTGCAGCTACAGTAACAACACATTATACACACACTGATGCCATGTGGAGGACTGCAGCTACAGTAACAACACAAAATACACACACTGATGCCATTTGGAGGACTGCAGCTACAGTAACAACACATTATACACACACTGATGATGCCATGTGGAGGACTGCAGCTACAGTAACAACACAAAATACACACACTGATGCCATTTGGAGGACTGGCTACAGTAACAACACATAATACACACACTGATGCCATGTGGAGCTGCAGCTACAGTAACAACACATAATACACACACTGAATGGAGGGCTGCAGCTACAGTAACAACACATAATACACACACTGATGCCATGTGGAGGACTGCAGCTACAGTAACAACACATAATACACACACTGATGCCATGTGGAGGGACTGCAGCTACACTGATGCCATGTGGAGGACTGCAGCTACAGTAACAACACATAATACACACACTGATGCCATGTGGAGGACTGCAGCTACAGTAACAACATAATACATACACACACTGATGCCATGTGGAGGACTGCAGCTACAGTAACAACACAAAATACACACACTGATGCCATGTGGAGGACTGCAGCTACAGTAACAACACATAATACACACACTGATGCCATGTGGAGGACTGCAGCTACAGTAACAACACAAATACACACACTGATGCCATGTGGAGGACTGCAGCTACAGTAACAACACAAAATACACACACTGATGCCATTTGGAGGACTGCAGCTACAGTAACAACACATAATACACACACTGATGCCATGTGGAGGACTGCAGCTACAGTAACAACACAAAATACACACACTGATGCCATGTGGAGGACTGCAGCTACAGTAACAACACATAATACACACACTGATGCCATTGTGGAGGACTGCAGCTACAGTAACACACATAATACACTGACAGGGACTGCATAAAGTAACAACACATAATACACACACTGATGCCATGTGGAGGACTGCAGCTACAGTAACAACACATAATACACACACTGATGCCATTTGGAGGACTGCAGCTACAGTAACAACACATAATACACACACTGATGCCATGTGGAGGACTGCAGCTACAGTAACACACTGATGCCATGTGGAGGACTGCAGCTACAGTAACAACACATTATACACACACTGATGCCATGTGGAGGACTGCAGCTACAGTAACAACACAAAATACACACACTGATGCCATGTGGAGGACTGCAGCTACAGTAACAACACAAAATACACACACTGATGCCATGTGGAGGACTGCAGCTACAGTAACAACACAAAATACACACACTGATGCCATGTGGAGGACTGCAGCTACAGTAACAACACAATACACACACTGATGCCATTTGGAGGACTGCAGCTACAGTAACAACACATAATACACACACTGATGCCATGTGGAGGACTGCAGCTACAGTAACAACACAAAATACACACACTGATGCCATTTGGAGGACTGCAGCTACAGTAACAACACAAAATACACACACTGATGCCATGTGTGGAGGACTGCAGCTACAGTAACAACACAAAATACACACACTGATGCCATGTGGAGGACTGCAGCTACAGTAATAACAACACAATACACACACTGATGCCATGTGGAGGACTGCAGCTACAGTAACAACACAAAATACACACACTGATGCCATGTGGAGGACTGCAGCTACAGTAACAACACATAATACGCACACACACTGATGCCATGTGGAGGACTGCAGCTACAGTAACAGCACATAATACACACACTGATGCCATGTGGAAGGACTGCACGCTAAGTAATACACACTGATGCCATGTGGAGGATGCAGCAGTAACAACACATGTACACACACTGGACTGCACACTGATGCTGGAGGACTGCAGCTACAGTAACAACACAAAATACACACACTGATGCCATGTGGAGGACTGCAGCTACAGTAACAACACATAATACACACACTGATGCCATGTGGAGGACTGCAGCTACAGTAACAACACATAATACACACACTGATGCCATGTTGGGACTGCAGCTACAGTAACAACACAAAATACACACACTGATGCCATGTGGAGGACTGCAGCTACAGTAACAACACATAATACACACACTGATGCCATGTGGAGGACTGCAGCTACAGTAACAACATAAAATACACACACACTGATGCCATTTGGAGGACTGCAGCTACAGTAACAACACATTATACACACACTGATGCCATGTGGAGGACTGCAGCTACAGTAACAACACATAATACACACACTGATGCCATTTGGAGGACTGCAGCTACAGTAACAACACATATATAACACTGATGCCATGTGGAGGGCTGCAGCTACAGTAACAACACATAATACACACACTGATGCCATGTGGAGGACTGCAGCTACAGTAACAACACATTATACACACACTGATGCCATGTGGAGGACTGCAGCTACAGTAACAACACAAAATACACACACTGATGCCATTTGAGGACTGCGGCTACAGTAACAACACATTATACACACACTGATGCCATGTGGAGGACTGCAGCTACAGTAACAACACAAAATACACACACTGATGCCATTTGGAGGACTGCAGCTACAGTAACAACACATAATACACACACTGATGCCATGTGGAGGACTGCAGCTACAGTAACAACACATTATACACACACTGATGCCATGTGGAGGGCTGCAGCTACAGTTAACAACACATAACACACACTGATGCCATGGAGGACTGCGGCTACGAGTAACAACACATAATACACACACTGATGCATGTGGAAGACTGCAGCTACAGTAACAACACATAATACACACACTGATGCCATGTGGAGGACTGCAGCCACAGTAACAACACAAATACAATAATACACTGATGCCATGTGGAGGACTGCGGCTACAGTAACACACAATACACACACTGATGCCATGTGGAGGACTGCAGCTACAGTAACAACACAAAATAATACACACACTGATGCCATGTGGAGGGACTGCAGCTACAGTAACAACACATAATAACACACTGATGCCATGTGAGAGGACTGCAGCTACAGTAACAACACATAATACACACACTGATGCCATGTGGAGGACTGCAGCTACAGTAACAACAACACATTAAATAATACACACTGATGCCATGTGGAGGACTGCAGCTACAGTAACAACACATAATACACACACTGATGCCATGTGGAGGACTGCAGCTACTGGTAACAACACAAAATGCACACACGCGATGCCATTTGGAGGACTGCAGCTACAGTAACAACACAAATATACACACACTGATGCCATGTGAGGACTACGTACAGCCAGTTACATTATACACTGATGCCATGTGGAGGACTGCAGCTAGTAACAACTTGCATAATACACGCACTGATGCCATTTGGAACACAAAATACACACACTGATGCCATTTGGAGGACTGCGGCTACAGTAACAACACATTATACACACACTGATGCCATGTGGGAGGACTGCAGCTACAGTAACAACATATAACACACTGATGCCATGTGGAGGACTGCAGCTACAGTAACAACATTATACACACACTGATGCCATGTGGAGGACTGCAGCTACAGTAACAACACATAATACACACTGATGCCATGTGGAGGGCTGCAGCTACAGTAACAACACATAATACACACACTGATGCCATGTGGAGGACTGCAGCTACAGTAACAACACAAATATACACACTGATGCCATGTGGAGGACTGCAGCTACAGTAACAACACATAATACACACTGATGCCATGTGGAGGACTGCAGCTACAGTAACAACACATAATACACACACTGATGCCATTTGGAGGACTGCAGCTACAGTAACAACACATAATACACACTGATGCCATGTGGAGGACTGCAGCTACAGTAACAACACATAATACACACACTGATGCCATTTGGAGGACTGCAGCTACAGTAACAACACATTACACACACTGATGCCATGGAGGACTGCAGCTACAGTAACAACACATAATACACACACTGATGCCATGTGGAGGACTGCAGCTACAGTAACAACACATAATACACACACTGATGCCATAGTGGAGGACTGCAGCTACAGTAACAACACATAATACACACACTGATGCCATGTGGAGGGCTGCAGCTACAGTAACAACACATAATACACACACTGATGCCATGTGGAGGACTGCAGCTACAGTAACAACTGATGCCATGTGGAGGACCGCAGCTGACAGTAACAACACAAAAACAATACACACTGATGCCATGTGGAGGACTGCAGCCACAGTAACAACACATAATACACACACTGATGCCATGTGGAGGACTGCAGCTACAGTAACAACACATAATCAATAACACCGATGCCATGTGGATGACTGCAGCCACGGTAACAACATATTAACACACCGATGTGTGAGGACTGCAGCCACAGTAACAACACATAATACACACACACTGATGCCATTTGGAGGACTGCAGGCTACAGTAACAACACATAATACAACACTGATGCCATGGAGGACTGCAGCTACAGTAACAACACATAATACACACACTGATGCCATTTGGAGGACTGCAGCTACAGTAACAACACATAATACACACACTGATGCCATTTGGAGGACTGCAGCTACAGTAACAACACATAATACACACACTGATGCCATGTGGAAGGCTGCAGCTACAGTAACAACACTCTTAGTAACAAAAATATTGGCAACAACACACTTAGCAACAACAGAGTAACACAAAACAACACAAAATGGATATGTCTTATATATTTTCGGAGAGTTGACAGGTTACCTATTTGAAATTACCAAATTGCCTCCAATTTCACTCTTACAGTGAGTGAGTGAGTATGGTTTGTGCCGCTTTTAGCAATATTCCATCAATATCATACTGGGGGACACCAGAAATGGGCTTCACACAATGTACCCATGTGGGGAATCAAACCCAGGTCTTCAGGGTGACAAGTGGTCATTTTACCATTAGGCTACCCCATTGCCCATCACTGTTACAGACTCAAGAGACTGCCCTATTTCAAAACAATCCACAGAAACAAAATTCTGTTTCTAATTCACCGATTACACAATTTCTTCTTCTGTGATTCAATTTGAAAACCACCTCATGACAATTGTTATTGTCATACTACTTTGACAGACAAAAGTTTTGAGATCACATGACGTCTGGAGCAGTTGCCACTGAATACTATGTACTCACATGATTCCAAAGACAACAGCCTGGTCTAGTTGTGAGAGACGCACACAAAATTCCTGATCTGTCTCCGAGAGCTGCACACCATCCAACACAGTATCATCATCCAGAGCCACGTTCTGTACACAGAAAGGTTTCAGCTAACACTGACAGTCAGTACAGAAGCTTCTGACAGTCTCATCCCACTATCATCAAGAATAATTTAACAAGACTGAATCAAGTGTAGCGTCTGTCCAAATCTGCTAGCCACACGCAAATTCTGGCATTTTGGGGTATTTTTTGTTATCAGAATCTGTTTGAAATTTCTCTTAATAAACTATAGTAGGTATATGTTAAGATAACTTTCTTCTGGGACTAAAGGGAAGTCTAGACACCTACAACTAGCCTAGGTTGTTGGAGATTCATCAATAACAAGAAGAGTTATCTCCCTTTGAACTACCATAAGTTGAAGGGAGATAACTCTTCTTGTTATTGATGAATAACCTTGATGAAACTATATCACATATATGAACTAAAAGTTTGGCAACATTTCTAACTCATCAGATTTGCTCAGACACCCGGATACTTAAAAGGATTAACTGCTTCAGGTGTATGATCCATATGTGTGATGTGTTTTCATATTTCCCAAAATCATTATCATGCACTGTGACTTACTAAGAATTCAATCCAGATATTATTATGTTTTACCTTCGGAATGATAACTTCACCAGTGTTGCTTTCAAATGTTCCAGTTGAGCTCTCCGTATCTGGCCGCACAACCTTCAACATCAGCTGAGCCTTCGCCTCCTGCTGAAACTTGGTCCTCTTGCCCAGCGCCCCTGGAACAACCCGCAATAGAAGGTTCGGCCTTGTATTTCTACATATTAACTTCTGCATTAGGCCACACAAAAAAATATGTCCGTTTCCTATTACATGCTTTTTAAAAATACGGTAGGTGGGTGAGTTTTATCTTCTTTTTTTTTTTAGTAGCACCAGGTGGGCACCTGAGAATGTCTTCAAGGATACCATATCATGTTGTCACAATGTCTTGTGATGAAATAGTGATAGATTTCTATATCAAATCATTATTTATGTTATTTATTTGCAGGTTTGGTCAGTGAGAGCCCATTATGCCAATTCAATGCAATCCATTTTAGCATTTTAGCCCTACGTACACTGAAAAACATGAAAATATCATACTCGATTTGGATGAAATGAACTCCAGTCATGATATTGACTTGGTTAAAAAAAGATTTAGGGTCGGGTGGGTTAGGATAGGGTCGGTCGGGTTACCGGAAACAGACATATTGTTGTTGTTGGCCTTATTGAGTTTAACCATAGGTTTATACACTGAGTGTGTACTCATCATCCCAGCAGAAAGGTCAAGTTACGATAAACCTTGAGATATTATTGTGACCCCAGTCAGAGATGTTCATGTGACTTTATGATCAACTTTATAACATATGGCGAGAATGACAGAAAAAGCAGATTTGACCAACATCAAACTAACTAAATAACTGCTAGCATGTGAGCCAGGAGCCTTATGCAATTTAAATATCAACATCCCTCAAGAAAATCTGCTTGGTTTATCAACTTCCTTAGGTACAAATATTAGAAAAATATCTACTCCACACCAATATTTTTTATATTCAATTTTGCAAATCAACATACACATGCTATCATAACAATGTAAGTCCAAAAGATATAAGTTTGAAAAGTAACAAAGTGCTATTCTCTTATATCATGTACATATGAAAGTAACAAGAATTTTAAAGATTTTTCTCACTTTTAAATACCGGTAATGCAAATCTATCTGACAAAAGGGGTTCATATTACAACTTTCCTTCAGCAGAACGCGCATGGTGCTGTATATGGGTAAGCTAGTGGTCTCGGGACTGGAAATGAGAGATGGCAATACCTGTGAGCTCCACCTGCAAGCCAGACAGTTTCCGGGCAGCACTGAAGCATGTTGTGGCCCTCCTGTACTCATAGAACGTGTGACACAGATGTCCAGCCTCCAGGTGGAACAAGATGGCCACATCCCTGAAAGCAGTACCATGGATGAACCAGGTACAGACTGGATAGATCAGGACTAAATCAGGAGCCTACCTCAATGTACAAGCACAGTCAATTGGGTAGGACAATGTCAGCATGTTTACTCCCCGCCATTACCCAGCGAAATCAAAATGTTACATATGCTCAATCAACATAATGTACATTACGAGCAAGCCAAGCTAAAACACTGTGCTGCATTAAACCAACAAGTTATGCCAAATGACATGCCATACTAGACCAATGAGCTATGCTAAACACTTGTGTTGCACTAAACCAATACACTACATCAATAAATTATGCTAAACAAATGTGTTACTGAACATAGAGATTTTTCTGGGTTACATCTTCTTTTTATTCTCGAGTACAACGTTTCAGGGCTTGTTCTGGCCCCATCATCAGGTAAATATCAACCTGTAAATGTTACCTGATGATGGGGCCAGAACAAGCCCTGAAACGTTGTACTCGAGAATAAAAAGAAGATGTAACCCAGAAAAATCTCTATGTTCATCAAATATCATCTTCTAAAATGCCAATCAAGCATCTAAATGTGTTACGGCTGAAACAATAAGCTACAGTAAATCAACAACTCGCACATGAGCAGTATGTTACACAAAATATGTCTGCTGCTCTAATGTTGTGAGATTTATATCCTGTAACCATGGTGACACTCCAGGTGTTCAGCTCACCTGTTGTCTTCACTCGTGATCAGTGGTTCCCTCTTGGACACTGAAACAGAACAAGTCAATGTTTGTGTGGGGATCGCACCTGACTGAATGAAATCTTGGAGATGAAGAACAAATTGACATACCACGAGTGGCACTTAAAATGTTGAATTAATCCTGTGAGAAAATGTGTGTCTACCTTTGATGGTGACGATATTTTATTTTGATATTAAAAACATTTCTCGAACTGATGCAAAGGAAGCATTTGCCAACCTTTGCTCGCCTCGCTCACATCTAAAAAACACTGGTCATTTTTCTCTCTGTTGCACAACCCTATTTGCGCTACATATTGCCTGTGATCAAACCAACTCAGGAATGTGTCTAGTTCCAAACAGGTGATATTTACTGCCATAAAACTTTTCTCAGAACAGAAAGCTGCTTTGAATTGTTCATAATGTAAGATACTTTTACAACAAATGCATACAAGGATATGAACAGATGCCTCATTGCATCACAAAATTGAAATGCTTACCTTCATCTATGATTTCTAGGACAATGGCCTTGAGAGTCGGGGACTTCTCCTCCAGCAGATCCTGATGCAGTATGATGTACCTCATCAGCCACCAGTCAGACGTCTGCAAGGAAAGTCAGTGAGTGGGTGGTGTGCTGAGATTCGAACCCAGGTTCAAAAGACTTGTATCCTACCTTATCTTCTGGCAATCAAAGATTTGTATCCTACCATCTTCTTTTTATTCTTGAGTACAATGTTTCAAGGCTTGTTCTGGCCCCATCATCAGGTAAAACTGATGATGGGGCCAGAACAAGCCCTGAAACGTTGTACTCGAGAATAAAAAGATGTAACCCAGAAAAATCTCTATGCTAATATTTCTTGTCTGAAATTTGGTACAGTGGATATTATGGTGCATCGCTCTCGAAGCAATGTACATTTTTCTGCATTTATCCATTTTCTCACAAATTTGTGCCATGTAAACCCCTGGTTATGTGGCGTTCTTTCTAGATCACAAGAGCTATTATTTCTGAAGAACAAAATAAAACACTTAAGATTTTGTCTTAATTGTGTGTATGAGTAAATCATGTGACAAGATAAGTGATCAGTCAGCAACAACAGAACACAACTGAACTGACCATTGGAGATGTGGACAAGTTACTGGAATAATAAACACAGTTCAGTTTATGAGTGTCAATGTAATAACCATGTAATAACCACTGAAAGAAGTACCTACATGAACTTTACTATTTGAATGTTTATCCATAAATGTCCCCAACATATTTTTATCCTGCCAAGAAACTTACTCATCAGATGACCAAGATGATCAGCTACTTTTTTCACTTTTCATCAAAATGTGGACCATATTTTGCATGAACCCATATCTGTTACCATGACGGTCTCAGCTTCCTCCTGAGTGACAGTGTCTCACCTAACCTTCAAAACTTAACACAATGACACACATTTTACCAAGGTGCCAAATCTTAATTACCACGCTATTTTAGTCAGCTCTTACAACGTACACAGGTAACTAGGGATCCCAAGTGGATGTACAAAAATATGAATCACCATGATCTAAATGTTAGAAACAGCTACAATATTCATGAAAACAATGGCTCTATATCAGTGGCAATATTATACTGCGTATTTATTTACCTGCAGACTTTTTAAATGGTCACGACAAACAAGGAAGATAACTCTTGCCAGATACAGATACGTGACATGTCTAGCTAGGCTGTAGACAGGTGCACCATCCAGGCTCAGATCATTCAGTATGTTCTCTATGAAGGCCTGGAAACAGAGATCAATATAAATATATACTCTTTATAGCAATAAACAAATGGAAGCAAACAATTCATCTGCTTATCATGTTTTTTGTATTTGCTCAGACCATGGAGTCAAACAGTAGAGACAATCACACTCGTCATCTGGACAGAAAGTTGTTATACCCTTGTGAAGGAGAGCAGATTTATTAAATGATCATGCTGGCTCAAGTAAAATTTCTTTGTAACATTTGATTGTAAAGATTACTCGGGCAATTACAACCGATACAGACATTGGTCATGTTTTGTGTGATACCTCTGCGAGAAAACTATGTGGGTACAGCAGCACTGTGAATAAGGCAACTGTTAGCTAAGATATTATTTGAAACAAAAAAAAATCCTCTTTGGACAGGAATAGACACTAAATTTGCAAAATTCAAAATTGATGTGACATAAACATGATGAGCAAAACAGGTTAGCATCGCTGCCATCATCATCAACATCATCATCACCTTGTGTGACTGGCATACAGAGGGGGGGAGGTACGCGGTCACTTGAGTGTCGGTCAGTGGACCCGTCCAGTTGTTCTGTACAAACAGCTGCAGACATGATGCTCCCACCAGCAGAACCTCCAGCTGTCTGTAACCATGGTAACACACAGTGATGTTAATACACATCAAAAGAAAAGGAAAATTTCAGAAAGGAGAAAACTGTCTGTTCATATTAAGGAGCTGGACACACTTGATATAGGTAACACGTGTACATGTAACAAGAAAAGCCTTTAAAACGTTGGATGCACCTGAGTAAATTAAGAAATTTAATGAGATGACGTGAGATGATTTGTGGGGTGAAGCTGACTTGAAAAGCATCAGGATGACCATACCATATACATGTATTAGTAACTTGCTTCTATTACTCGCAGCGCAAATACAGTACTCTCATCTCCAGTGTATGATATTTCTTACGACAAGCATGGGTTCTAACCCGGACCTTCACGGGTCTCCGGAAATGAAGTACTAGTGATAGACGGAGGAAACATGGTCCTGTATATTGCTTCTATTTTATGGCGGATGGTAACAAGTCATCAAAAGATTACATTTCCCCCCGCCCGCCCCCACTTATTTGCAAAAGTCATGTGAATCCTACCCCTTCAAACAAATTCCACCAAATCCATCTCATTTACATGGCACCACTTCCGTACTTGAGTAATACACATGCAAAGTTTCAATAAGAAGACAAAGACATCAATATGCCCCGCAATGGTAAAATACTCGTCATGAATATGTCAACTAGTTATGACTATGTCAAATGTACGGTACTGTTGATTTATGACATTAGGTTCTTGGATACCCACAAAGTAGAAAGAGATTATTGAAGTACTTTCTCTGGAAAAGAGCACCACCACCAATGTCAGTCAAAGTCAAACTCGTTGCCATGGAAACACAAAACATATTTTATTCAGAAATCAAAAACTACCAAAAGGCACCAGTTCACCACCAGATCTATCTATGGTCCAAGTTTGGTGAAGGAATATTGATTTTACGCTAAGACTCTTTATGTCCAAAGCAAATCCATTCATCAGCTGGGAGTCATCTGCATAGTAGTGATTGTCAACCTTGTGATCAGTAAGATCAATGATCAACTAATGGCTGATATATTGCTACATGCCGTATACATGGCCATGTGACTTTACCCATGTCAGTAAACATGGCATTAGGACAAAAACCATGATTAACATTGCTACATGTATATTATTATATTGCAACAAACACCATGGCTGTCAAGTGATATACCATGTCAAAGTGTAAATAAAAGTGGAAAGCTGCACAATGAACTCACAAAGTATCTCTGTCTCTGTCTGAATTAAGAAGAAATCTCTCCACATTGTGTGAAACTATTTCCACTAAGCTGTCCTTGTTTCCAGGGTTTTCCTTCAAAAGTTTTTCACCAACGCCATGTGTCAGGACATCTTCATATTTCCCAAGAAAAAAGTATTCCAATAGCTCTGTGCCACAACCACCATCTGAAAAAGAAGGACCCATTAACAGTCATCAGGGTGACCAAGTATATATATACAACATACTGAAATTCAAGAATTGTGGTCAATAAAATAAAGTAGTTATGATCATATGAAAGGAGTACAGTTTTTGGGTCTTGTCCTAAAGCATTAAAGGGGCACTGATCCAGAGAGATTGAAGTTCCATGCCAACAATCTAAGTACGTCAGGTGGTCAGTCCCTGTTCCCTCGACCGTGACAGACACGGTAACCGGGCAGCTGTCCACCTTGGCAGAATTTCAACCTAAACAGTTGGACAAAAAGAATGGTCTAGATATTACAGTAATGTTATAAATTCATTAACAACAGATTGTGTACTCTTATGACGTTCCAAAATGCAGAAAAATATACTCATAGAAACAAATAAGGGAACACAAGTGTTCCTGTATTTATTTGCAGAATTTCACTCACAGTCCAATACATACCTTGTGAAGAAACCTGGAAAAGAATAAAGGAACACTTACAGAAGTACTTTTATGTGTTCCCTTATTTGTTCCATGAGTATATAATAATAACTCCATGAAGATTATAAGACAAAAATATAAAGACGCACATTGACTTCAGGGGGTTTTCAGTCCTAACATTTTGTATCACTGACAGATGAAGTTAAACTTAAAATTGTGTGAACTCATTTGTTATCATAATAATGAAGATGGAAAGATTAATGAGTAAAAAGGATTTCATCTTTGTTGATCAGTGTAAGGATATATATATTATACTTATACAATCAAATGTGCTTGCTGGTGGCGCAGCAGAGATTGCAACCCAGTCAAGAGGTCGCGGAGGAACAACGATAACAAAAGCAACAACCAGTCCCTGGGAATTGCTCCGGATCAGTACAAGCGAATCCGGTAATTCCACGCATCCGGTAATTCTGTGCAGCTGCAATAGCGTACTTCCGTATCAAAGGTAAACATCGTCTGCTACCACATTTATGCTTGAAATCGGGACATTTCTACAAGGGACTGGCTTTTAATCACTAAAGGTAAGTAAATAACAGTAACTGACAGATAAATTGACAGTTTTATGAAAATTTGGTTTCTTCAGACTTTTAAACCTTCTTCTTCATTATTCATAATTGGATTTAATATCAAACACTCTTCCTTACATTGAAGAAGTGATTTTTAAAAATAATTTGGCCCTAATACGCTTCCAAACTTCGGATCTCCAGCTAGATGTTATGCGCATCAGTTGCAACGCAGAATTACCGAACAGCAAGCGATGTCGTCAGAACGCCGGTAAGGTCAACCGTATGGCATAATGCAACGTTAGAATCTTATAGTCGTCAATAAAACTTATGTTTCTAGGTAAATATGATGCATACCCGCATGTTTAGTCACGTAAACCACAAAAAATAAGAGACGTTAGTTGCCGTGTTGCGATCGATGTGCTTAGGTGCGCTGAATTACCGGACGGCATTGTATCCCTTTAAGTCACATTTTGTATATTACACGTTACAAGATATGTATACAAGCCATGGAAGGAAATGCAGCACTGGAAATATGGTCGTATTGAAATTTAGGAACTGTCACTGATCAACTAGTCCTGTGGCACTCCCACTACACTGAATCATTCATTCATTCTCATCACGGGAGTCACTGACAATGACTTGACAGACACAGAGTGGATCGGGAATCAGTTCCTTCAGTTTGTTACAATGTATGTTTTGTGAAAATAACACTCCAGGTACCAGATCTACATACCCTGCAGTCGTGACGGAGTGTAACCGAACAGAACAGCTATTTCAGCCTCCTCGACAAACATCATTGCTCAAACTCACGCATTTACATGGAAGCTGACATATTGGCTACTGCACTATGGGAAGGTCCGAAAAAGAAATCGGCGTACCGCTAAAAAGTCAATCTCAGCCGCCGCGGCAAGTGGATTTCTTCAAATTGGGCTTGTCAAAATGTAACACTACTTCAATATGTCTCTCGCACGGTCATACTGTTCTAGGCCAATATGCCAATATGTATGATAATATACATAATACATAAAAGTTTAAATGGATGACATCAATTATGATCAACTACTGTTTGAGTTGGTTCATTGTATTCTGCGTTATTAAACAACTATCATACATAATACACCAAGAAGTAATAAACGCCCTGGTGTAGAGAAAGTTGGGCAGGCGGTCTCCATTATTTATAGTAAGAAATGTTATCCGCGGAGAGCTGGATTTGTCATCCGGAAGCCGGTGTACCCAGTCAGGATAGTCTAAAGATACGTTTCAGGCAGTTTAAGCTCTTTACTGGAATATTATCCAAATCACAGACAGGTAAATGAAGCCAAAATAATTATTAAAGACAATATTATTATAGAATCTACGGTATTCTACTGACCATTTGCAAAAAAGCACTGATCATTCAAGAATTATAGCGTGTAATCTACGCTAGAGGCGTATTATTTCAATACCTCTTTTGCTACTGGTGATGTCAGCCCATTTCATCGCGGAGAGCCAAATTTGGAGGGTTATCTACCGACTGCTAAAAAAATCTACACGTCCGGTTCTGCACAGCGTTAACACAACTAAACCTTCTTGTACCCCAAACTGCTTACCCATAGGGTAAGATAGGCTGGGCCACATAACCATACAAAGTGGGACAATGATATTTAAACCAAACCGCCATTTACGTTAGATTTACAGATGTTAAGATAGCTACTTCCTTCACTGTTGATTAAAGTAAAAATATCCTCGGCAAGCCTCGGATATTTGTAACTTTATCAACTCGTGTTGATATAATTGATATCAGAAGACACTTGGGTGAGATTCTCTATATCTTCACCATACATTAGAATACCCGGCAGATCACTGTCTAAGTGGATGCCATAATTACAACTGCTGAATAATTATTGAACACAGAAAACAATGTTGGCGTTATTACACATCCTTGACGAATACCAGAGTTAAGTCAATATGTTGATCACTCAGTCGAACACATGGACAAATATCGTCAAATATTGTCCAGCTTGCTTAAACAAAACTTCTATGTGAACGGATTTTGCATTAATTCATACCACAAAGATACATTTATTTCGAAAATTAATTTTCCGAAGCGTAACAAGAATTCGGTTCATTAACTCGTACGTGATTAATTCAGATATTATACAATCCCCTAATAACGCATGGTCGGACATATAGGCAATGTCATATACAGTTCTAATAACCTGGATTTGCATGCACACATCTGCTACCTGTTAATATCAGTTCAAGATTAAATGACCATTATGGCCGTGGTACCTCCGTATATAAATACCAACTGGCATATACTCAACAGTGCCAGCGAATATAGAGACTTGGGTCATTTCCGATTTCAGGTAAGATTATATCAATGTGTTAGTTTAACTCTTCTTGTTTTAAAGTGATCTATCTATCACGACATATGTTCAACGTATTCAGCGCATGAGTCTCAGAACATAGAGGTACATGTGTGTCGAAACATTGTGGTTCATGGGTCTTAGAACATTTTGGTCTTAGGACATAGTGGCACATGAACATTAGAACATAGTGGTACATGAGCCTTTAAGCATTGTGGTACACGCACTCTAAAGAAGTTCACAGTCGTGCGTAATAGTTTTCGAGTATTGTCATTATTTAATGTATAATGTAAGAACCATATTGTGATGCAATAGTGAAGTTTAAACAATAAAGAACTCGTGGATTATCACTATCTTTAAATGGAACTGATGCGAATGAACTAGTGCAGGGCTGTTTTACCTGGATGTGAGAGGTGAGGCGACGCATGTGTATAGTCGTTGTAGTCCGTGGGCCATGCATGCTACCAAGATGATAATAAGGACAGGAACTACGTGAACCGTCAATTAGTGAATAATACATAAAATACCCACTAGTGAAACGGAGAAAGTCATGCTCAACATTAATCAACTGATTATATTTTACTGTTTATTATGTACGGATGCTGTATACATGTATATGGTTTGGCAGTGTATTTCTATCCCTTAAAGATTTACAGATCACAAGAAAGTGGTATTAATCCTCAATATCTCCACATTTGCACAATTGACATAATGTCTCAGAATAATTCACACCTACATCCTACCATGTTCTCCTTCTAGAACTCCGTTATATACATAGAACAACAATGGACTCATAAAACATCTTTGTCTGACACCCTTAGGACATTCAAAGACGTCAGAATGCAAGTGACATTATTTGAATACAGACTTTGAATGATTTGGGCTAACTTACCCTTAATACCTATATGGTTCAAGAGAGTCCACAGCTTTGGGCGTCTCATAAATCAACAAACGCTGCGTGCCCCTTTTCTTGCAAAGCTGTTTTTCGATAACAGAGTTTAGTATAAATACATTATCTATTGTTGAATAACCATGTCTGAAGCCTGTTTGCGATTCTACAGTTTTGTCATATATAACTGTTCACAAACGTATTCTATTGTATATAACTGAAATAAAAATCTTACCAAAAATACTCATTAACGACATACCTCTGTAATTATTTGGGTCGCTGGTCCACTTTTGTATAATGGAATTATGATGGATTTGGCCTATTCATCATGAATACAACCTCAGTCAAATATCTTAATTAAACAAATCTAACAGCAATGGTATAAGCAAATCAATGCCATGTATAATTAATTCTGCAATCAACGTATATTGAACAGACGATAAGTGATATGAAAAGAGTGTGTTCTCCTAAAAAGTTTAGCCAACAGTGGTTTGACTATGAATGTGATCTACTAAAAAAAGAACGATGTGAATATACTCATGCCAATAATGATTGTCCCCCCTTCAATATTTTTAATTGGAGAGGGGGTTGGGATGTGAGGTGCGTGTGGGGTTGGGGTGGGGAGGGGGGTGACAACCATTATTGGTATGAGTGTATTTAAACAATTTTAGGAGAAAAAAAGGATAATAACTTTTTACAGGAATACAATATTAGTGGAAATAAATATAACAGTGTATGCAGAGAAAAGAAAGCGAACTTTTTTTAAAGGGAAGCAGGAAAAAGTCGAACATTGTATACGCGATTCTAAGCACTTTTGGGCCACTCTTAATGGGCTGAATACTAATTGTTGTTCACAAAACAATATACCAATCGAGGATTGGCTTTCCCATCTCAAGGAACTATTTTCAACCTCTACAGGGAACGAGGAGAGTTTTGGGGCTACCTATGAATCGAATGATTTGATAAGTCGTTTTGCCAGTTAACTTTAGAGATTCTTGATTCACTTATAACAAGAAATAAAATTTCAGAAAGTATTGCAAATTTAAAAAGTAATAAATCTGCCGGTGAAGATAACTTGATTCCTGAATTCTTTAAATATTCATCCGAAATCATCCTCCCCTACCTTGAAATCCTTTTTAAGGTTATGCTTGAAAAGTCTTTCTTTCCGGAACAATGGACTTTGGGGATTGTAATTCCCTTGCACAAACAGGGATCAACTAATGACACCAAGAATTATAGGGGTATAACTCTTTTGAGTGTTTTCAGTAAGATATTTACCAGTATTATACATAGACGTTTAGTATTTTGGGCCGATTCCTTTGATAAGATAGATGAAGCACAAGCCGGTTTCAGGCACGGGTACTCTAGAACTGATAATGTCTTTATTTTGCAGACACTTGTGCAGAAATATTTCGCCCGAAAGGGAGAAAAAATGTATGCCATATTTGTAGATTTTGCTAAAGCGTTCGACTCCGTTAACAGAAACATGCTGTGGTCCCTTTGTAAATCTCAAGGTATCAGTACTAAAATTGGTAAATTAATATACTGCATATACCACAACGTGAAGGCTTGTGTTCGAAACAATAACAACCTATCTGATTCCTTCTGCTGTAACATTGGGGTAAGACAAGGATGTATACTAAGTCCATTTCTGTTTTCGTTCTTCATCAACGAACCGCTACGAATATATGAAAACTGTAACGAGGGCATCCAATTACATCCAGAAACTATGAAACTTTTTCTACTCCTTTTTGCTGATGATATTGTTATGTTCGCGAGTACCTGGACTTCAAAAGCTAATAAACCAACTTGAGTACTACTGTAAACAATGGAAATTGAATGTCAATATCGATAAGACAAAGGTCATAGTTTTCAAAAATGGAGGGAAATTATCAAAACGGGAAAAATGGTTTTATAAAGGTGAAAGATTGGAGGTTGTAAGAAGTTACAAATACTTGGGTGTACTTTATACAAATCGACTAACTTGGTCATTGCACTAGAACAAAGCCGCACTACAGGCTAAAAGATTTAATAGGCATTTTAAGAACCATAAGGCCGGTTCCAAATATTAGCTTTGACACTTTTTTCAAAATCTTTGACACTAAGATTAGTCCTATTCTACTCTATGGTGCAGAAGTATGGGGCCAAGAAATCTATGACACACTAGAGAAGGTACTATATGCGTGCAAAAGAATGTTAGGAGTAAACACCAACACCCCAAATGTTACAGTTTATGGGGGATGTGGGAGATACCCTATGTATATATTTAGTTACATAAAAGTAATACAATATATGATAGATTGCTTAATATGCCAAGCACCAGATTCCCCCAAAAATGTTATAACATGATGTTGCTTTAGGATGATAGAGGGAAAAAAATAACTGGACCTCTGGTGTCAGAAAGATACTTCAGTCTTGCGGCTATGATTACATCTAGAGGGAACAAAATGCATCAGCACCAGAGCATTTTATATATGATTTAACACAAAGGCTAAAAGATATGCATTTTCAAAAGTGGCATATTATGACGTCATACGATTGTCAGCGAATCAGCTTCTCGGTTGAGAGCTTGGCGGTTACCGTGGCAGCGGGTAATATTTTTTCCAGTTGTCAC